TCTTTTGTATCTCAGTATGTCAATTTGTTTATGTTTTTTTTCTGTTTGTAGTTCGATAAATAAAATACCCGCCAGTGTTGGCAAAATTGTTTAAAAGTCACTTCATTCAGCTTTATAAGTGGCTTTCTTATTTATACCCATTTTGTTGAATCGCAAATAATAAATGGTCAAAAACTGTGAAAAAGTGGAAAACCCAATGAGCACTGAGCAAACACAAATGGAAACTGTTGGCGGTTGCCACCTTGTTGGCAAGTTTAAAAGCTGCCCCTTTAGAGCAGCAGCTTAAGCAGCACACTCACCTGTAACTGAGTGTGTGGGTTTGTTGATGTGTGTTTCTTGTGTGCGTTTCCGGTTTTGCGCTTTCCCAGCGACGACGTCACCATCAACACAAGCGTTCACTGGCAAGCTTAAAATGCAAAAATAAATGCCACGCATGGACCAAACCAACACACATCACACTCACACACACAAACGTAGGCAACACATGCAGACAAAGCACACTTTTGCAACAGTATTTTACTGGTTCCTGCTCCCTTTTAGGTTTGCATGCTGCTCGCTTTTGAGCTCAAGTTTATATTACGCTTGGCCTGTTAACCGCAGCTGCAATAGCTGACATGAGTGTGCATGTGTGTGTGTGTGAAGTTGTGTGTGTCAGACTACCTGCTAAGCACTGCTGATTGAATTCTTTTGTGTTGTGATTTTGTAGCACTTTGGTGGCAGCCATATCCCCGATATCCCCCTACACCGTCGAACATTTAAAGTAGTAAATTTTTGCACTCTACCGTCCACGTGTATGTGTACTTTTGTGTGTATGTGTGTGTGTGTGTTAGTGTGCCACGTGATGCTGATGCAGGTGTGAAATGTGCACATAAAATTTGCACTTGTGTGTTGCCGTTTTTCTTGCCCTTTTTGTGTACGCTTTCACTTTCACCAAAGTTGCCAACAACAACGACAACAGAAACAGCAACAGCAACAAAAAACTGAGAAGCAGAATGCAAAGCACCAGCTGTAAAAATGTCGTGAGGCGCATAAAATTCACTTGAGCGCGAATGAGGCGAGGCAAGTGTTTACCCAAGACATAAAACATTTTCGCAGCGAGTGAAATTAAATGCCAGCCTGACACTGAACTGCAGCAGAAAACCATCCAGGCACCAACCGCAAAGTACGAAGCGCCATGTTCCGTATGGCAGTCGGGCTGGCAGTCGGGCTGGCAGTCGAGCAGCCAGGCAGGCAGGCAGTTAGGTAGACAGTCAGGTAGGCTGGCAGCTGGCAAGACAAAAGCCATTAAAATGCGCTAACGTCGCGTTTTTTGGCCGACGGAAGTTTGGCCCATATACGTGTTTGACGGTGTAGCTATCGTATCCTATATCTGAGAATCTGTTCTAAACTATTATTCTGTGCCAAATTTCAGAAGAGCCATTGTCTGTTTGCATAATACGCGACGGCTTATGTGATTTCAGATAAATTTGGTATTTTAATGCAATTAGAAAATAGTTTTAGGTTCATCTCATCGCTAGGATTTCATATTCAAATCATCAGCTTCATTAATATTTCTCTTACTATCTTCTCTTAATTTCGCAAAGTTTCCTACAAATTCTATTACATTGATGCAATAAGAAACTTGTTTCTGTTTCAAATCAGAACTGGTTCATTAAACTAATCCGCCTCAATTTCGCCAATGTTGGGTGACATGTTTTGAATTTAAATGTTTAAGTGTAAACATTATTATGTATCTCGAAGATATTCTGTATTGATTATGGCAAGCTTAATTAACTGAGATACTTGTTAAATATTCAAATACTCTGCGATTGATATGCACCTCAAATCCTTTAAGTCCCATCCGTCTGTCCATAAAACGTTATCGAAATGATGAGAATTGGTGTTTCAGAGCTTGGCCACCAAGAAGAAGAAGAGACAAGAAGCAGAGGTAGAAGTAGGTGGAGAAGTAGAAGAAGAAGAGTGAGCAGCTGTTATCTGCACCGATTTGCAGTGCGTAATTAAAAATGCAGGCCAAGCACGCCAAGCACTGCATACTTTGGGGCGTCGTTTAACTTTGCACTTAAGCAACAGAAGCAACAGAAGCAGTGGAAGCAGTGGAAGCTCAAGCTAAAAACGTAAATATCATTTGCATTTTTAAGTGCGTTTCGGAATTGGGCTAGCTGACTTTAGTGCGTTGGTGTTGCCGTCTTTAAGCTGTTGGAGCCAAGTCGAAGCTATAAACTGGCCCCTGGGCTCTATATAGAACCGACCGCAGCAAATCAACGCTAGCACCGCAGCAGACGCCTTTTAAGGCCATAAAATCAGCTAAAAGCAGCCACAAAACACGAAGAGGCGAGGTGGCAGACGCAGGGACCCATTGCCACAGCTATAGCCAGTGGCCGGGCCACAACCAAGTGCGAAGGCAAACTTGAAGTGAGCACGGAATTTATTTCAATAAAATGTGCATTAGCAGACCAAAAGGCAGCAACAAATAACTTAAGGCTTTTAGTGCGCACAAAAGTATGCAACGGCAGCGGCAACGGCAAAGGCGGAAACAGCGGCAAATGCAAAACAAAACCCAAACGAAACAAAACGAAATGGAAACGAAATGGAAACGGAACGAATCGTTGTTGTATAGAGTCACATATTAATATGAAAATGTCGCATTGTCGTCGTCAACTTATCAGATTTGCTAATACCCCAAAGTATGAAACATTTTACCCATGAGTAACTCTATTTGAAATCCATTACTGCCAACGAGTCCGCAACAATAAAACTGAAAAGTTTCAAATTTATGTCAAAAACGAAGACGATGACGAAGAATAAGAGTGCGCCAGTCAAAAGGAGCAGCAACAACAACAATAACAACAACAGCGACAACAACGGCGACAACAACAACAACTGAAACAGTGAAAAGAAGCCAACATTGAGCAAGCAAAAAGTAGGTTAGGGCATAAGAGGGGATAAAGGGGTGGGGGGATCGTTGGGTGTTGCGACCAAAACTTGAACAATAGCAAAATGCGTGGCATGGCAATATGGCAGACATGGGGGACTGCTGCCGCATGTGGAGAACAAGGGGAGGGCATATAAAAAGAAATATGTGTATGCCAACAGGCAACAGGAAAAAACATTCTAAACGTTTTTGATGGAGAACTTTAGGGAGCTTTTTGGCTCGCTCAAACTCCTTACGGCTACAGGCCACTCAAATTATGGAAAATTTTGTGGCTGGCAAACCAAAAAAACAAAAAAAAAAAGCAAAAAAAAACTTAGAAAAGACGGGAAAAAGGCGAAGGAAAATAGAAGCAGCAGCAGCAGCAAGAAGAAAATTTGCTGGCTGGATGCCACTAGAAGTCAATAATTTGTGCCGCGTTTTTACAGCAATTCAATTAAAGCAACAAACACAGACATACACACGAAGAACAGATGCAGACAAAAGATGCAATCGAGTTGGTTGAAGGGTTGCACAAAAGTCCATTGCACTGCCGGAAGTGGTTGCAGCAACTTTTGCCGAGTGCCATTTGGCACACAAAAGATGGATGACGCTGAATAAGGCAGTCAGTGAAAGAGACAGAGAGCGAGAGAGAGACAGAGAGAGGGAAAGAGGGAAAGAGCACTCAAATCTTTGGCTTCTGTGGAATATGTGGCAACACCACCAGCCGGAAACTGTTAATCAATAGATTGCTTAAAGCAGCACCTTTTGCAAGAAACAGAAACACAGCTCCCCCGATTTTACAGCAGCAACAGCAACAGCAGAATTAAAGGCCAACTGCTAATGAGCTTTCTAACGCTTTTGGCTAAATGCAAAAGAGTAAAACATCAAATGCCTTATGCATAAAACAATTGGTTGGAGCGAGCGAAAAATCAAGTTGCTAAAAGCTTAAGTAAGTTCAACCGAAGAGCAAACGCAAATTGGGTTAGGTTGGGAATGCTGCTCGAATTCCAGTTAGGATGTCAGTGACCTTCTGAAAACCACTGATTAACACACCCAGGTAGCCTTTTGGAACTACGCGTTTCAATTCCTCCTCCAACCCGCCCCCACTCGTCGTCGACTTTTTGTGATTATTTGCATTATATTTTCTGTTTAGGAACAATTTTGAATGCCTTTTGTTGCTGTTTTGGCTTACTTGACATAAATCTTGCTCACTTTTCAGCACGCAGCCCCGCATTTCCAGCACCTGCTCCCGCAGCAGCCCCCCCTGCCATTGGGTTCTGCCCTTAAATGGCGTTCTCGTTGACATTTTATTTAACATGCATATTTTTATTTCATTTTCCCAGAGCGACTGTCAGCGCTGCAGATGAGATTTGAACTAACTGACAGTCCGACAGAACCGAGACATTCAGCCAGCGATTTTTGCATTTGCTGCTCCTAAAAGCCATACACAAATTACGAGAGTAGATGGTTAAGCGGGTAGCTGCCTGGTATTTTTTGCCAGCGTTGGAAAAGCAAGAAAACTTGGAAATTAGATTTTTTAATATTTTATGCAGTCATCACAGCGTTTTGTGGCATTAAAGCGCAGACATACACAATATAAAATTCATGCAAAAATGTATATACATATCTCGTGTATATTTATATAAACAAATATATCTTTGAGCATTTGAATTTGCATATTGGAGCAAGTTTAAATGCTTTGCGCTTTTCTAATTTCATGTCATGTTGACAAATGCATGAAATGGATATGTGAGCGCAATTTCTGAGGGTTAATACAGGCTGCTTCCACATACCATAAATATAAAATATGCCTATGAATGCCCGCCTGGATGTCAGAATGCCTGACTTACTGTATGAATGAGAGAAGAGCTGAAATTGTAGGCATAAATTCAAATAAAAATTGCACACACTGTCGTATTTATGAGCCATGGATGTGTGTGTGTTCAGATTCTAGCCCAAAAGAAGATACGAACACCAACTGACATATGAAGAGAAGTCCGATTTTTGCCATTTGCATATTATTGCATATTTACCAGGAGGGCAAGCATATTCAATCAATCGCACAGATCTAGACAAACACAGATTAAAATATGTATTCCAACCACGACATTCCTTTATCTCTAGGTTAAGCTATCGTTATCATCATCATCATCATTGTCATCTTCATCGAATTCAATTTCTTTTTCTACCCCTTCGCCATCATGTAAAGAGGTCCTCTGTTCATTAAATGAGACTGTGCTCTCTTTTTTTGCATGCGGATTGTCTTGCAAAGGGACATCACTTGGACTGCCCAGAATGACAATGGAAGTTGGTCGTTCCAGCCTTGCCCTTTCCATGGACATCTGTGGCTGGCCGCCAGCTAGTTGGCGAAACCATTGCGATTTCAAGCGAAGCCAATGATCAACCTTTTTGCCCAAAAAGTAAACATCTGCTGTGGTCCTTGCCAATTTATCGCGCTCCTCATTATTCATAATGTTTAGCTTGGCATCCCTAATGGGCGGATCGGATACACGCCACATGGGCCGCAAGTCCTCGTTGGGTGGCGACTTGACAATAAGATCCAGCACGAGTATTGCCTGCAGCAAATAAACAGCTCCAGTTACAATACAAGCCAAACTCTGCTTCTTGCAGTAGCCAAAGTAAGCATGGTCCAGCTCCTCCCTCGGTCCCATAAACTGCAGATGAAAGTCACCCTCCGCGTATTGCATGGACACCCAGGCGCAGATAAAATGCAACAGCATGCTGCAGACGGCGATGATCAACTCCGGATGCAACACAGTCCTCTGGCCGCCAATCAGTCGAATGCAGCGAATGACCGAGAGCAGAAAAAAACTACTAAAGGTGCCACAAAAGATCAGATTGTGAGGCAATGGCTCCGCAAAGTGCAATGAGCCAGTGATGTGAATGGATATGCAGATGAGGTCCAGTACCACTTGCAACACTTTAAAGAGCAGCCAAACTTGATTCATTTCTCGGCTAACGAAAAATTGTGAAATGAAAAGCTGATTGAGAAATCTGTGGTAAATTTTTGGGTTGTGTTTGTTTTACTCAAGTCACAAACAAAATTGATTGGATTTAAGCAATTTCTTTCCACAAATTGCTTGGAAAATTCAAAATGAGCAACGGCAAAATCGGAAGGCTTATGTTAAAACAAAGATTTTATACCATCAACACAAATGTAGTGCTTAAATAGTCTGTTCAGTTCAGTTCAGCTTATATTTACATATAAATTTTTCTAAGTCCTGGATTTGGCAAATCTGTTCAGTTTGGCCGAAGCTATAGTTATGAGAAAATTACAGCCATTCCCAAGATAATTTTTAAATATATCATTTTTGCATGATTCTAGAAACGAAATTGAAATTTAGAAATTGAAAAGTATCCATTATCAAAAAGTTGTGGTTTTTGAAAATCAAGTCAGTTTTGACAAAGTTATGGTTGCAACAACTTTTGACTTTAAGTCGATTTTTTTGGGATATTGCACAAGAAACACGTTCCCAACTTTATATTTAGAATTATGTTAAAGATCAAACAACGTTCAAAAAGTCTTGGTTTTTGAAAATCTGGTGACTATTGACAAAGTTATGGCTCTGAAAAGACTTTATCCACCATTTATCCATCTTAGAAATTGTCTAGATTAAATACAAATAAATATATATAATATATATAAGGGTATTTTATGGCATATAATTTGATCATTGATCACAGAGTATTATGAAGTGATTACCTTCGAGTCTTCGGCTCTTAGCTGATGTTGTTTGCGGCAAATGCTTTTGGCCAGCCTCAAAAGCCAATTCAATTTTGAGGCGTATGAGCAATGCTCGTTTGTGCTGCGAGCAGCAAATGTGATTAGCAGGACATTCGAGGACTTCATGGGCGTTTACAAAATGTGCTATTTAATGCTCAGGCACACTCCAATGTCAAAGTCGGGGTAATTTCCTTTAATGGCTTTTCATTTTGTCGATAGTGACACTTTCAGTTGTTATCACTGGCCCGTAAAAAAGGCCCAAAGACAATTACGGTCTTAGTGTGCTACAAAAGAGGCAGCGTGACAGGGGGACAGGGGGGCGGGGGGCGTTGGAGAAGAGGCAGAGGTAAGAGGTTATGGGGAGCAGCAGCAGTAGCATTGAGTGCTAAACAGGAAATGATTTTCTTGGGCTACTACTCTTAAGAACTTGGCAAATGGGCGCGCCCCTTTTGGTAATGAAATCATGAATTAGATTTGAGCTCGAGAATTGTTATTGTTTTCGGCCACTTCTTCACTCCGCCTCTCTCTCTCTCTCTCTCACTCTCTGTCTGTCTTTCTCTCTCGCCCTCTTGCTCACACTGTGGCTTAATGACTTTTGTGGCTGGCTCGTATACGTGGCTTGGTCCACAGTTGCTGTTGTTGTTCAGTCTGTCCTGTCCAGCTGTCTGGCATATTCCCAAAATGTCTATAAATCCCTTTTAAATGTTTTTAAGCTTTTGTTGGACATTTTCAGCAAAACAGCAGCAGCAGCGGTAGATGACTGCAGCAACAGCAGCTGTAATGTGCGCCTGGACCACACACACACACACACACACACAACAACAACAATAACAACAACAACAACAGCAACAAAACCAAAAGGGAACAATATTAACGTGTCAACGAGAATTTATGTTTACCGCAACTGGACAACTTTCAAAAGCAGCTTCATAGATCCAGCATTCTAGCCAGCTTCAGCTCCTGCTGCTGCTGCTGGAAGCTGCTACTGGCTGGATTTTTGTGCGGAAGTGGCAGCAAATGCTTTACTGTCTCGCCAGTTAGCATTTTTTGCCCCATTGTTGTTGTTGCTGGCCAAGCGTGGCAGGAAAGAAGCTGCTTGACTGACTGCCTGGCTGGCTGCCTTCAGCATTGGCACACATATGCAAATGATCCATAAATATCAACACTTTACATACACAAATAGACAAAGAGATAGACAGAGAGAGAGAGACAGAGAGAGAGAGAGAGAGAGCGGGAGAGAGAGAGAGAGAAATGGACTGTGGCAGGGTCTTAACGCAATTGAGAAAACGGTCAGCTAAAAGTGGCCAGCGATTTACACAGCATTCTCTTGTACCATCTATCTCCCTCACTGCACATGTGTCTGTGTGTGTGTGTCTGTGTGTGTGTGTCTGTGTGTGTGTGTGTGTGTGTGTGCTTATGGTAATTGTGCTGAAAACTTGAAGCATTTTGCGGGCTGAGACTGAGGCAAAGGCCTCAACAGTGAACGCCATAAATAAATTACATTTGTTGCTCATTAAACGTTGAGTGGCCAAATGGCCGCAATTTAAAGTGTGTGGGTATCGGGAGGGGGGCAGTAGGGGGTGGCAAGGGGTTGGGACGGAATGGTTGGGGTTTCAAGCTGAAGGCTGTTGGAGCTTGTGAGAGCAAAAAGGGTTGAATGTTTGTTAGCCCGCAGCGAGGATTAAAATATGACTGTGTTTGTGTGTGTCTGTGTGTGTGTGTATGTGTGTATGTGTGTATATGTGTGTGTGTGTGTGTGTGTGTGTGGGTGTGTGTGGCATTGATTTAAAGCAGAATTCACTTAAGTCCTTGCACAAGTCTCACATTATTATAATTAAGGACGAGAATGAGTAATGTGACTTAATCATTGGTTAATAATTAAACTTCAGCTGTTCGCAAGTGCAGCGTCACTTCAACAACAACTTGCAACAACTTGCGGCAACTTTTGACATATAATTAATCAAATTGAGAATGCTGAGCATTTGCATCCATATTCCTGATTAAATTGTATTTGAAATATCATATCTATGATTTATAATTTGTAATTATTTCAATCAAATAATATGTGTATAAATAGGTAAAGCATCGCCGAACCCGTAGAGTTCATATATATATATATATATATATATGTTCCTGATTAACAAAACTTGCCAAAAACTGCAATTTAATGTTGTGCAAAATTTACAACAAAAGAAAGAAAGAAACAAAAACTGAAATTGAATGTTGAGAATTAAATAACAAAATTGTGCAGTTGATGCAACTTTTGCACTGAAATGCAAGAGTTAAGTTTTGAAGTAAGTTTCTAATGGTTTTGTTGGGAAAGTTTTGGACTAATCATGGCTGGAGAAACTGCAAACTACGCATCGTTTGTCAACTGAAATCAACACCTGAACACACAAATACACGTAGACAGGAGCAAACAGGCGTAGCCAGGATATATTATGGCAAAAGTCGTCTATTTATAAGCACAAGAGAGACACAGAGAGAGGGAGACACAGAGAAAGAGAGCAGAGAGCGAGAGAGAGAGATGAAATGTGGCTCATCAGGTGCTGTGCTATAAGCCGCTGATATAATGCCTTATTATCATTTAATTGAGCAGCCCGGGCTTTCAAACAGTAAACTGCTAAACAGTTTACACAATTTATATAAAGGCCTCCCAAAAAACGGGCAGCAGCAGCAACTCTCAGCAAAAAAAAAATAAATAAAAATATGAAGAAGCAGCAGCAGTAGAGAAAGAGAGAGAGAGAGAGAGGGAGAGGGAGAATCTCACGGCTTTATGACAGGCAGGCAATGATTATAAACCGGCATAAATTTAAATTGAGTGTCACTAACTTGGGCCAGAGCAGTGCCTTAGGCAGTGAGGCAGGCAGCGAGGCAGGCAGCCAACAGGGCTTACAAAATGGATGGGTGGTTAGGCGGTTGGGCGGTTGGGTTGTTGGTGTGGCATGACGATACAGGCACGCCCACTGCGTAAACAAGCCGCACAATGACCAGAAAATAACCGAAGCAGCAACAAGAGTTGCGACAAGATGTGGCAGCAATAGCAGCAGCAGCAGCAGCAGCAGCGGAAGCCCAAAGCAAACACAATAACAGTAAGTGGAGCACATTTTGGGCCAACGATAAAGAGACACAAGCCAGCGGACTGTACTGGAGGTGGAGGTGGGTGCGGTTTGCAGTGGTGTGGTGGTGCTTGGTAGTTAGGGTATTTGCACTGGCATGATGCTGGCAGGTCAAGCAGCGTATAAAATTCATAAAATATCCGCACTTAAAAACGCTGCTGGTCAAAAAACTACGAAACTTGAAGCTAAACCAAAAGCGACGCCGACAAAATTCTTGATATTCTCCCTGTATGTGTATTTTTTCGTTTTTTTTTTTCTTTCTTTTTACATTTTTTACATTTTTCATATTTTTCTTTTATTTGTCTTTTATTTATTTATGTTTTTCTTTTCTTTGTTTTGTTTTTTTTTGGGGGGTGCAAACAATTTGTGTGCGCAGCTGTTTGTTTTGGTTGTCGCTGTAGTTGCTCCTTGCGGCCAACGAATTTGTGTGCTTTTGTCAGTTGCACATGTGCAACACTGTCACTCCTCCCTCCCCCTCCACACACACACACACTCCAATACATGTAGGCGTGGCCACAACACTCACAGACACACACACACACACGAGTTCATTATGCTTCATGTATATTTTATGGCCATTTGCTGCCCTTTTTGGTCAAATGCATTTTTGGGCAAAAATGTGTGTGTGAAAAATGCAGGCCATTATCAAGTGTTAATATTTATGAGCCGATATTGTTGATGTTATTTGTTGCGTATTGTTATTTAAATATCGTTGGCACAAGTATCAATAACAAGCATAAAACAAATTACACACAACATGCCAAAAAGTGGGCCGCAACACAAACAACAATCAAAATAACAACAACAACAACAACAAAAATATCAAATCAAACAAACGGAAAATAAGTTGGTTGCATTTTACATGATGGTCACTCAATTCACACTCAACAGCAGCAACAACAACAGCAACAGCAACAACAACAGCATCCAGTGGGCCTATCAACAACAAGCTGACAAACAGCAGGAGTTGTTGTTCATCAAGGGTTTTGGGGTATGAATTTTGTGTTCATTGGGTTTGTGGGCTAAGCTATCAAAATGCTGTCATTGTTTCAAATGCAAATCATTTCAAATAGGCCACTAAACAGAGTTGAAAGGGGGGGAATTGCTTGTTAAGGGGGTGGGCGGCAGGGGCGGGTTAGTTTGAGCTTGCTACGCTTGTTTGATTTATGTCCATGTGCGTGTGCATTTAAGTGCAAATTGTGGCAACATTGTTGTTGTTGCTGTTGTAATTGCTTCTTGGTATTTTGCAATTGCAGTTGCAGTTGCAGTTGTAGTTGTTAAAGTTGTTGTTGTTGTTGTTGCGTTACATGTATTTGTATATTGCATTTTGTAAACATTTAATATTCCAATTATGCAGCACAATTCAATGGGCAACTGGCCCACTGCTAATGTTGCCACAATGCGCC